AATCCTTTTTTCTTTTTTAACTCACTGTTCTATTCAAGATATGCGTTCTAAATAAATACGTCTTGGGAAATAATGTGGCATGACTGGTCAACATTTTTCTTTCTATAAATCAGAGGTATTAATATGGTTTCATTAGCCCTATGTAAACTTTAATCCTCACATAAACTGAGGAACAGAGAGACTGGTTCTTCAAATTCAATGTACAGAATTCCAGTTGCCTGCTTTGAGAAGACTCTTGCAAAAAAAAGTTAATACTATGCTTAGTTTAAAAGAAAGGTAATTCCACTTTATACCTTTTGAATAACCATGAACAAATTCCTGATTCACATATCGATCAATTTATTTCTGAAAATATGCAAACCTTTAAACTAAATCTGGCTTCTCAAGAATAAAGCTTAAAATTTTCTATTTGTCATTTAACAATTTCTATCAAGCAATGTTTTTTATGGTACAGAAAAAGCAGTGAAAACATTTAAGATAGGGACAATAGATAAGTCTAATTTTAGGGCAGAAAGTAAATAGGATTTGCAAGTAATAATGAGAAAATATTTCTGCTAGGATCAACAACATACACTGGACTAGGACAGGTTAATGGTATGTTTATAAATACAAATAAATATTGAATTCTGATACTTCATATCTTTACTGAGGAGAAAAAAGTAGCTTTATGCACTGCTAAATTTTATTCATATGTTCTGGAAAAGAACTTCAACTACATTTTCCTAAGTCTAGCAGATATCCAACTGTAAACACAAAGCCCACTGCAAAAAATGGGTTGAAAATTAAAGCTGAAGGTAATCTTAAATTTGCATAATTGAAGTCTTATCAAATCAAAGCTGGATTCAGAAAACTCAGAACTCTCCATTTGGCTTTAAACAGCTGAATGTCTATTAAATAGCAGAAAATGAATATAGCTCAATGGAACAAATGATACTTGACAAATATTCTGTCAACATTCAGAACACTGATGTTTCTAAATATTCTGCAGCAAAGCAAATAATCTAATAAAAGTCCAACCTTTGAATATATACTTAAATGTAAACTGTCATAACTATACTCAAATAAATGCATAGTAAACATTTATGAAAATGATATTCATAGAATAAGCAATACAAAGATAACATTTACAGAATATGCAAATTTATAAAATGAGATAAATATTTATATGTTGTAACAAAACTACTTTCATGTGTGCATTAACTATAATACTAACAGGTTTTAAAGTAAGAGCGATGCTCCTTAGAGATCTCAGCTAGTTCTTAGACTTTGCTACCACATGCCCTACATAACTCCATCAAAGTACTTGTCATATTATAGTGGAATTCTCTCTTTCTTGCGACTTCTCCCACCCTGCACTTGACTCTAAGGTTGTTTCTTTATCCCTTGAGCCTAAAACAGTCCTTAGCCTATAGTAGATGCAGAAAGGACATTTCTTGAAAGAATAATGCAGAATTAAGGGAATTCTGGGAACCACGCCTACTAGGAATCACGTGGTTTTGTAACTACATATCTGAATTTCTAAGGGGGCTCAAACTGTGAATACACACTGAAAGATAAAGTCCTTGTCTATGAATACTGTAAGCAAACAAATATACTACCTGCATTACATGAAATAATCTAAGAATGAACCTGGGAGTCATAATTCACTTTTCCTTCCATCTCACTCCCACATAAGAAATTAAAATTCTATAAATTTCATCTTTTCTGAAATACAAGCTCTTTACCCTTCTTCCTACTTGACTACAATGCATGTTTCCTATAATGTGAAGTAGCCCATATGTGACCAGTGAAAAGGAGAATAGTGGTAGCAAAACAGAGAGGTTATATTGGTTTACATGGGATTTTTTCCAAACATATTAATGTTTTGTGCCACAGGTAACTGCAGCTGAATATAAATTATGTTAATAGCTAAAATTAGCTACTATTTTTAATGCATGTATTTGCAGAACATGAGGTTTTTCAGTAATATTTATCTGCAGTAGAAATGACTGTACATTCATCTTTGGTGAGCTATATTAAATTTATTAAATAAGTAGATATTAAATAAGCTACTTAAATTATTAAATAAGCTACAATTATGTGTTAAGATGAGGAATAAAAGAGAAATGAAAGAACAGACAATTACTGATGATGACTACTTTGTTAGGTATAGTGTTAAGGGCTCTGAATACTTTCACTAAGTTGAGTCTATCCCAGGAACACAAGGTTGGTTTAACATTCAAAATACAATCAATGTAAAGGCTGGGTGGAGTGGCTCATGCCTGTAATCCCAACACTTTGGGAGGCTGAAGTCAGAGGATCACTTGAGACCAGGAGTTCAAGACCAGCCTGGGAAATATACCAAGACCCCATCTCTCCAGAAAAAAAAAAAAACAAAATTAGCCAGGCATGGTGGCACGTGCCTGTAGTCCTAGCTACTTGGGAGGCTGAGGTGGGAGGATCACTTGAGCCCGGGAGTTTGAGGCTGTGGTGAGCTATCATTATACCACTGCACTCCAGCCTGGGCAACAGACTCCAAAAAAACAAAACCCAAAACCATATATATATATGTATGTATGTATGTATGTATGTATGTATGTATGTATGTATGTGTGTGTGTGTGTGTGTGTGTGTGTGTGTATATCTGGCAAAGTATAAATAACATATTTCTCAAAATTTCAATAATCCTCTTATCCTTATAGTACAGAAATTCTTATAAGAACTTTACTTAACTCTCACATATTTCTAGTAAAATATAAAATTTGACAATAAGAATTTTTATACATTCTTTGTTCTAATATACATATTTTATATATTTTCTTCTAATATATACACTTTTTTGTTCTAATATAGATTAGATATAATATACATAATATATATGTATATTCAATGTAATTCATGTACTAACAACAAAAAGAAAAACCCTATCATCATCTCAGTAGGCAGATAAAAAGCCTTTGATTCCTGTGATGTACCTAGTTAGAAAAGAAATTAAAAAAGAAAAAAGATTTTAAAAGCCTTTGAAAAACTCCAAAATCCATTCATGATAAAAACTCAGCAAACTTGACTGAAAGGACAGTAATTTTAAAGTAGTGGTTATAGCTATTTTCAATATCTTAAAGGAAAATACGTTTATAATGAATGCAAGATAGGGCATCTCAAAAGAGCAATAAAAACTATGAAAAAAAGAATCAAACTGAAACTCTAGAACTAAAAAATACAATACTTAAATATAACCCAAGAAAGACACCATAAATAAGGCTTTCCAGTTTCTCTAATTTTTACTAGTCTATTTATGGACATTGCATTATAATTTTTAAAAATTTAAGACAGAAAAATATCAATGAACTATAATAAACATGTGGACTAGAGAAACTGATGTCCTCTTGATTTTTGTGTGTAGTTTTCAGTTTCCTTGTATTTAAAATGAGTAATTTAATTAACAAAAAATTATGGACATTTTCCTAAGGGTTTAAACACTGATGACATGAAGTCAAAAAAAAAAAAAAAAGTCTCTGTCCTCAAGGAATAATCTACAAGGAAGAGCTCGTAGTCTCTAAGAACCCCTTCTATTGTTATAGTTGTGGAACTACCCAATGAGATTAATTCTATCCCAATAAGACCCAAAAGGAATACTGAACATATCTGGCAAAGTACAGATAACACATTTCTCAAAATTTCAACAATCCTATTAACTTTATAGTACAGAAATTCTTGTAAGGACTTTACTTGACTGAACTCTCACATATTTCTAGTAAAATATAAAATTTGACAATCAGAATTTTTATACATTTTTTGTTCTAAGAGATCTTTAGGGTAATTCTTTTTTCTAAATCCGTTAATATATTTTGCATGTTTATAAAAAAGGCTTGAAACACTGAAGAAGGATGAAACTAAAGAATATTCACTAGATCCAAAAATGTGGAAATCGCAAGTTCAAGAGTCAGAAACCCTAAAAGCAATTTCATAAAATTTGTAAAATTTGAAGAAATTATAAGTGGATTAAAAATGGAAAATACCTAAAACTATGAAATAACATGAGGGCAAATGCATGCAACACAGCAGTTCAGAGCAGAGACTCTGGGATTAGATAGGGATTTATGTCTAGGGTTTACCATCTTCTATGATCCATGACCTTAATTAATTGTTCTATCTCTAGAACATCTATAAAGTATCACCAGATAACTGTAGGTTAAATGAGAAAACTAGTATTAGTCATATAGATTGATACAACTCTTTAGATAGGCATTTATGCTAACATTCCTGAAATGTGTTCTCATGGGCTGTTAGTAAGTGTTGTTGGGGGAAATTTAAGATTCTATGAGTTTGGGCATCTGGTTTATTTCAGGGCTTCTCAGTCTTTAATATGTGAATGCACATTGAGAATTTCCAAAAGGGAAACATAATATTTTGCATTTCTAAAACTTATTTGACTGACCCCATTTGCAATGAGTATCTCAAGGTACTAGTATGTTCCACTGAAATCAAATTTCCAAAACTGTGACTTGGGTACTATGTAGGACTATGAATAAGTTGATATCCTCTAATCCAATAGATCGATCCCTCAGCATTTTTATAATATTAAAAAGTGAATTCAATAAGAATGAAGACACTTTGTGCAGTGTTTTTATAATAGCAAAAATCGTAAGACCTCAATGTCCAATGATAGAGAGATAAAAATATATCAATGTCAAGGACTATTATGCAGCCAGAATGGAGACTATAGCTGCATGAAAATGTTAAGACAATCCAATTTTCTACGTGTATTAGGATTATAACAATATAAAAAACATATATATATATATGGACAACGAAAAGAACAGATGAAAACAAAACAAATTAATGTTCCAGATAGAACTGGAGTCACCCTTTTATTTAGTTTATATTTTATAATATTCTATATATGATAGACAGTGGTTAACTGTAAACAAAGACACAAAGGTAAGAATCTTGATTAAAAACTTTTAATACGTCTCTTCTCATATTAAGTTTGCTGATAATAAATGATATTTAAATTATAGGACCATTCAAAGACTGTCAGCAAGCAAAAGAAGCTGGGCATTCGGTCAGTGGGATTTATATGATTAAACCTGAAAACAGCAATGGACCAATGCAGTTATGGTGTGAAAACAGTTTGGATCCTGGGGGTTGGACTGTTATTCAGAAAAGAACAGATGGCTCTGTCAACTTCTTCAGAAATTGGGAAAATTATAAGGTAAATCAGTGATGCAGTCCTAAGGGAGGTAAAACAAACCCATTCTTGCAATAATGCAAGAAACAAGATGCTATGCAATAAATAAGATACACAGTCAAAAATAACTATCCACATGTTTTTTCATTATCTACATCTGTCAAAAAAATGATTCTCATCTCTAGTTTTAAAGTGAAAATTAAATTGTAAAAAGAAAACAGAAGATATACTTTAAAATGATCCCTTTCAGTTTGGATGACTTATACTTACTACTTTACAAAAATTACTATTAGGAAAGAAATGTTGGGCTCTTCAAATGAACATGAGAGAGACCAGGAACCCTTTTTAAGGATCTGGGTAGTATACTAGCTAATATTTTTAGTAGCTATGGATAAATTTTATTCTCATTTGCCTTTGTCTTAATTTGTAGGATTTGAAGCTAGGTCTGCAAATGATTACTGACACATTAGAAGCAAAAAAAAAAAAAAAAAAAAAAAACAGAATGACAATGTGTGGCTTATAAACCTCAAGTGACCAACTAAAATGGAAGCTCACATTATCACTTAAATGGTCAATATCTTTATGCTATTGAATGTTTAACACTTATCTATAAAAATGTTTACTATATACTTATTTATGCACTCATGTTTCTTCACTTATTAACAGAAAGGGTTTGGAAACATTGACGGAGAATATTGGCTTGGACTGGAAAATATCTATATGCTTAGCAATCAAGATAATTACAAGTTACTGATTGAATTAGAAGACTGGAGTGATAAAAAAGTCTATGCAGAATACAGCAGCTTTCGTCTGGAACCCGAAAGTGAATTCTATAGACTGCGCCTGGGAACTTACCAGGGAAATGCAGGGGATTCTATGATGTGGCATAATGGTAAACAATTCACCACACTGGACAGAGATAAAGATATGTATGCAGGTAAGTATGAAAAACTTTCATTCTTTGTAGAATAATCATCTTCTATACATTAAATAGAATCTACTAATATATATGCTACTAAAGTCTTTTCAAAAAGGTCAGTTTTGGTCACTGTAACAGGAAGTATAACCTACTGAAAGAAATAGCTTTAAGATTTCTTCTATAAGGCAATCCCAAAGTGTGATCTATGTGAAAAACAAAGTTCTAGGAAAAAAACACAAAGCAAAACAGAAACACATTCATCTGGAAATAAAGTGCAAGTGCCTACAATTCATAACAACTTAACACCTACCATGTGCCAGGCACTGTTGTAGGTGCCAGGGATATAACAGTGAATAAAGTTCCTGCCCTTTGGAGCTTACTCACTGGAGGAGAGACAAAACAATTTGTTAGGTGGCAATAAGTACTCTCAAAAATAAAACTGAGTAAGAAAATAGAAAGTGGTGGGCAGCAAGGCCTGGGATGGGGGCTATTTTATATGGGTTCGCCAGGAAAAGCTACTGTGAGAAAGTAACATTTGAATAAAGACTGGCAAGGAGTGAAGGATGCAAGCCATCTGGATACATGGTGTAAGAGCATTTCTTTGAGGGGGAAAACCAAGATGACTGTAACATGTGGCACAGGAATAACAAAAAAGCTTGATTCAGAGGGGAAATCAGTATTTTCATTAGAAAGAAACAACTAGACCATCCACATAATTTCAAATTTAGTTTTCATATGCTTTTGACTTTTTAACCCAGCTTTCTGGTCCTGATAAACAGATTCTCCCCCAACAATTCTCCCCTATCCCTGCCCCAAACTGGTTTTTCTCTCCAGCTGTATTTTGGCAAACAGCACACAGGTCTTTATTTTAACCAATTTCACACTGGTAAACAAGAAAAGAAGAGAGATATGACCATAACTTATGTCTTATTTACAGAAACCCATCTGACTGCTGGTTTTATTTTACTTTGTATTATTTTTTGCTATTTTATTTTGAAAATTCAGTTTTCCTCAGACTTTTACCTTCTTCTGTATCTTTCCTTCCCAATTTCTTCCTCTGTAACTCTTTCACATATAAACACTGCTTGCATCTACTCTGCTACCTAGAAAATTAAATCCCCCTTTTTTAAAAAAGGCACATTTTAAGCAAGCAAAAAGCAAGATTTAAAAAAAGGCAATTCAAGTAATCTTTCAAGTAGTTGATGCAACAGCAATAAAAAAAGTGAAGACATTTAAAACTGCTAAGATAAAGGTAACTGGAATTAGTAAGGGAAGTTCAAATTAAAGGCAGAATAAGTTTTTGATGATTGCAGAGTACCACACCTAGAAGAAACTTTTACGTTTATATCTATATTTTTTCCTCAAAGGAAACTGCGCCCACTTTCATAAAGGAGGCTGGTGGTACAATGCCTGTGCACATTCTAACCTAAATGGAGTATGGTACAGAGGAGGCCATTACAGAAGCAAGCACCAAGATGGAATTTTCTGGGCCGAATACAGAGGCGGGTCATACTCCTTAAGAGCAGTTCAGATGATGATCAAGCCTATTGACTGAAGAGAGACACTCGCCAATTTAAATGACACAGAACTTTGTACTTTTCAGTTCTTAAAAATGTAAATGTTACATGTATATTACCTGGCACAATTTACTTCTACACATGAAGTTTTTAAAATGAATTTTACCTTAACTATAAAAGGGGAATCTATAAATGTAGTTTCATCTGTTGTCAATTACTGCAGAAAATTATGTGTATCCACGTCCTAGTTATTTTAAAAATTATGTTGACTAAATACAGTTTGTTTCCTAAAATGTAAATATTTGCAAATCTTAGCTATATTTTAAAACATAACTAAATAACATGTTCAAGATCCTTAACAATTTATTTAAAATCTAAGATTGCTCTAACTTCTAGTGAAAAAAATATTTTTAAAATTTCAGCCAAATAATGCATTTTATTTATAAAAATATAGACAGAAAATTAGAGAGAAACCTCTAGTTTTGCCAATAGAAAATACTTCTTCAATTGAATAAAAGCTATTTCAAACTGAATTTGTGCCTTTCACATGGAATGATTAAATCTGAATTCTTAACAACATATCCTATGCTGATTTTCCCAAAACAACATGACCCATAGTATTAAATACATATCATTTTAAAAAATAAAACCCCCCCACAAATAATGCATGCATTATTTAAATGGTCAATTTATAAAGACAAATCTATGAATGAATTTCTCAGTTTTCTCATATTTCTTCATACGATATGCTGAACACCAAAATCTCCAGAAATGCATTTTATGTAGTTTTAAAATCAGCAAAATATTAGTATTACAATATTAGTATTACAAAAATGCAGAATATTTAGTGTGCTACAGATCTGAATTATAATTCTAATTTATTACTACTTTTTTTCTAATTTACTGATCTTACTATTATAAAGAAAACAAACCCCATCCTATCTGCAATTCAAATCAGAAAGTTTGGACAGCTTTCCAAGTATTGGTGCATACTTTGAACAGGTGGGACTAAAATTCAAGGAACTGTTGGCTGTTTTCCCAATACTGAGAATTCAACAGCTCCAGAGCAGAAGCCACAGGGGCATAGCTAGTCCAAACTGCTAATTTCATTTTACAGTGTGTGTAAAGCTTAGTCTCACAGTGTCTCTGCAATCAACAACTTTACTAGTGACTTTCTGGAACAATTTCCTTCCAGAAACATATATTTACTGCTTAGAGGTGACTTTCCCTTAATTTATTTGTGAAGTTAAAATTTTAAAGATAGCTCATGAAACTTTCGCTTAAGCAAAAAGAAAATCTTGAATTGAAATGTGCGAGGCAAACTATGCATGGGAATGGTTTAATGTGAAGATAATCATTTGGACAACTCAAGTCCATCAACATGACCAATGTTTTTCATCTGCCACATTTCAAAATAAAACTTCTGGTGAAACAAATTAAACAAAATATCCAAACCTCATAGTGGCATTATTCTTTGTTTTACCTGTGGTCCTCTTAAACTGGTTTTTCAGTCCCTCTCCTCTTCCTCCAGAACCGAAGAATCTGTAATAAGATTCCTGGAAGGAACTGGGCATCTAACTGCTATACCAAATCTTAAGTGAATAAAACTTTACCAAGGCATCTCAGTTATTGAAAGCACTATATCATTTCATTTAAACACCCAAAACTTTATCAAAGACAAGTCTTACAGAATTTTCACAGAAGAACATTATTAAAACTAGAATGTGAAAGTCAACACACAACCTTGGAAAACTAGGCTGAATGCTAAACTGCCTTAGCCAATGGGCCCATTCTGCTCTCCTTCAGAGAGCTGATTTATTTTACTCTGAAGTTCCTAGACAGCATAATAACTTGGGCAACTAAGTTTCTTGAGAGAAGAAAATAAGAAGTGGTATTATATGATAGTTAGTTCAGGTTCTGAAGTCAGAACTGCTTGGGTCCCTGGCCCAGCTCTACTACTTGCTAGTTGTGTTACCTTGAGCAATTTATAAACTCCTGGCTCAGCTTTCCTGGCTATAAAATGGGGTATAATATCTAGCTCATGTGGTTTTTGTGATGATCAAATAAATGAGTTGATACAGGTAAAACATTAAGAATAATGCTTGACACATGTAAGTATTCAGTAGATTTAAACTATCATATTATTACTACTCATCTACGTACTTTCTGCAATACAAATCATAGCACCTTGCATAGAGTATGTGATTAACAAATGTGTTTTAAAAACAATATCCGGGCTGGGCGCGGTGGCTTACGCCTGTAATCTCAAGACTTTGGGAGGCTGAGGCAGGTGGATCACTTGAGTTCAGGAGTTCGAGACCAGCCTGGCCAACATGGTAAAACCCCATCTCTACTGAAAACACAAAAATTAGCCAGGTGTGGCACGTGCCTGTAATCCCAGCTACTCGGGAGGCTGAGGCAGGAGAATTGCTTGCAGTGGGCCGAGATTACGCCTCTGCACTCAAGCCTGGGGGATACAGTGAGACTCCTTCTCAAAAAAACAAGACAAAACAAAACAATATCCAAGTTTTTGGATATGAAATTACATTGATACATTATCTTCACTTGCAAATCTAACAGAGCCATGCCAGCTGTTACATCAGGCAGGTAAGCGGCTGGACCACAAATAAAAAGAAACTCTTCTTAGAGACATAGTATGAACTTCAGCCTAAAGACAGTCTTGCGAAAGACCAGGTTAGCTCATTTGTGTGATAGGCAGGGTCCAAGAGCTACCTACTTTGCAGGTCATCTAGGAATAAAGATGGGTTTGCCTTATCTTTGGCAAGATTGAACTACAACCTTCCCTTAGAGCTGGTTTATAGAAGGATTCTTTTTTAAATTTTTCTTTCTTTTTTTTTTTTTAAGACAGGGTCCCACTATGTCACCCAGGTTGGAGTGCAGTGGCACGATCTTAGCTCACTGTAACCTCGAACTCCTGGGCTCAAGCAATCCTCCCACCTTAGCCTCCTGAGTAGCTGGGACTACAGGAGCATGCCACCATGCCCAGCTAATTTTTGTATTTTCTTTGTAGAGATGGGGTCTCACTATGTTGCCCAGGCTGGTCTCAAACTCCTGGCCTCAAGTGATTCTCCCACCTTGGCCTCCCTAAGCACTGGGATTACAGGTGTGAGCCACTGTGTCTAGTCAAGAAAGGTTTTTTATGTTGTTACTGTTAATAAGTTAAAGAATTTTATCCTACAATAGATTTAGACTCTATTCTGGACTAAATGGGAGGCCATGATTGCCTAGAACACTTGACCTCTCTGAAGCAGATTTTAAAAATTTGAGATTTTGGAAAATGCCAAAATTAGATAGCAACTTGAAATTTGGTAGACACCTACAAATACACTATCTCTGGGCTTCATGCCTGGTAGTATAAAGATCAATTTTCATTCTTATTGAGTTGTTTATTTAACTCTGAGTCATGATAGGAGAGTGCTATTCTCTTACCATTGTATTTCTTAGGGCTCCTGCTGGTAATATAAGAAGAATAAACCTTCTGCAATCATAAAAACATTTCAAATAACTTATAAATCTGTCCTAAAGTAATATGGTTTACATGTATTTAACTTAATCTTTGTAGTAAGTTAAAGATTGTACCCTAACAAGTTTTTAGTCTTTTTATTCTAGTGTCTGTGAAAGATAACCAAGTAAGAAAAGAATGATTCCACTTACAATGCTATGACCTTGCCCTGAAAAAAAGGTCATCTTATCTTAAACTAGCTCACTTTTCAGTTTTTTTTTTCTTCTTGACACAGAGTTTTGCTCTTGTTGCACAGGCTGAAGTGCAATGGCACGATCTTGGCTCACTGCAACCTCCACCTCCCGGGTTCAAGCTATTCTCCTGCCTCAGCCTCCCCAGTAGCTGGGATTACAGGTGTTTGCCACCACACCCAGCTAATTTTTGTATTTTCAGTAGAGATGGCATTTCACCATGTTGGCCAGGCTAGTCTCGAACTCCTGACCTCAGGTGATCCGCCTGCCTTGGCCTTCCAAAGTGCTGGGATTAGAGGCATGAGTCACCATGCCCAGCCACTTTTTAGTTTTATCAGTGGAGTTAACTGGTATCAAATTATAATTCTATACATAATTATAGGAAAGACTGATGAATGAACTCAAAATTTTAACCTAAACACAGATACCCCAAATTTTAATGTAATCCATCATGCTTTCTTTGAGCTGTGAATGAAATGCATATCTTTATAGCAAGTCAATTTAATCTCCTTTGTCTCAGTTTTTTCACCCGTAAAATACAAATAATATCATTTACTTTATAAAACTGCTGTTACGTATTAGATAATCTATATAAAGTACAGTGTCAGCTATATAGGCCTAAGTGTTGAATAAATGTTACTGAAATTATTATTTTCCTGCCAAAGCTTGCTTAAAAAAATTACAAAACTGTGAAATATTCAGAGTTGGAAACACCACTGGCAAAACTGTTGTTAGGGGAATCTGATTCCATTTACAATTAGCATGCAGATCTGTATAGCTGCTATTCTTATTCTTTTAGAAAGACAAGGCACTTAAAGAAAACACTATGAACATGGGGATGAAATTAACACAACCCCACCCCCAGCTCTTTTATTTCAGAAGTCTTTGGTCTAAAGTAAACTTCAGAAAACATATCAACAAAGAACTTAGAAGAATTTTAAATATATAAAAGAGTGAGGGTAAAAAAAAATACATAAATGAGGTAATGGAAAATGGGGATGTAATTCTGGCTACAGAAAAGGGGCTAGCTGCCATGTGGTCAGAGCTTATTCTCAAATCCAAAAGAAATTCAGTGAAGATGCTTTACTGCTGTTTCAGCATACAATATATAACAACATATAATTAAAAGAATAGGGTAATCTATAATGTATATTACTGACAAATTAAAGAAAGAAAAATGGAATAAAACTTAAAAAATTAAAAGCCAATGACATTTTTTGATCATTAGGCATTTTTCAGATCAGTGTCAAAGCCTCACATATTGAAGAAAAATTATATCAAAGGAGAGGAAAAATCTCCTTTTAATTCCTACAGATGAGCAAAAAGACTTGGACTTTGTTGAAATTATCTGAATAGAAATATGAATAAAAAACTCTTATTTTTGAAAATATTTTTACATGAGTTAGAAATTTCTAAAACTAAATAACTATATTCTACTGAATATTTAACAATTCAATCTATGCAAAAACGACTGAAAACCAAATCGGTAAGATTCTTATCATGTTAGATACGTTTTAAAAATGTCATTAACTATGATGAGGACACTACTAAGAACGTAAGGCACAAGGCAATGATATGCATCTCTACCAGGATATAGAAAAGAGGAGAGATCATTCATGAGGTAATGATATCCTGGACCTTTGTTATTACAGAGATATTAAGTTCTATAAAGACAGGGATAAAGCCCATTGTAATCTCCTGCTATATATTTAGCAACAAGCACAGTGCTAAGTAAATACTAGGTGCCAGCTGAGGCACCAAAAACAAAAAATAACAACAACAAAAAAAAATCAGGGGTGGGTAAGGAGTTGAGTTGATCTATGCAAATACGCCACACAAATACATTTCTTGTTTAAACAGAAATTAAATCAAAATTACTGAAACAATGGGAAGAGCCAGAAAGGGATAATTAGTTGAACCAAGAAACATTTATTATATGACTACTTTTGTTCTAGATGCTATAAGGATAAACCCTTAAACCAAGACAAATAGGGGCTTACATTCTGTTGAGGAGGAGACAGATTAATGAAAATATCATAAATAGGGTGCTTTGCAGAGAGCAGTAGGCTAGGAACACTATATTACAGAGGGTTATAAGAACAGCATTTCTCTTCTAACAAAAAAGTCCTATTATGAAAACCTGACATATTAAATTAAAAATTAAATGGGGAAGGGGAAGGAGAAATCTCTCTCCAATAGGAAAACCGAGTCATATCTAGATCCATCAAAAGAGTATATTCTACAGAGGGCTAGAGATTTTACAAAAACTTTTCTGTTACATTCTGCTTCTACTTAATAGGAAACAGTATAGAGTACTGCAACAATTTACTGATTTCCATGGTTCAAAAAATACGGGTTTTTTTTTTTTTTTTTTTTTTTGAGATGGAGTCTTGCTCTGTCACCCAAGTTGGAGTGCCACGGTGCGATCTCAGCTCAATGCAGCCTCCACCTCCAGGGTTCAAGCAATTCTCCTGCTTCAGCCTCCTGAGTAGCTGGGAGTACAGGCATGTGCCACCACACCCAGCTAATTTTTTGCATTTTTTAGTAGAGACATGGTTTTGCCATGTTGGCCAGGCTGGTCTTGAACTCCTGACCTCAGGTGATCCACCCGCCTCAGCCTCCCAAAGTGCTGGGATTACAGGCATGAACCACCGCAACTAGCCAAAATATGCTTTCTTGGTCGAGCTACTACATCTTTGTAGTACATAAAGTAGAAATGTGGCTTAGAAAAGGCACATTAAAGAA